ATAGAGGTCTGCCCTCATAAAATTCAGTTCAGTAAGTAGACAGTCATGTAAACCAACTATTATAGAATGGAAGGTAGAGATTACAACAAAGGCTGGAGCAAAAGAGTGTAGGGCGGGGTAGACAAACTTTCTATAAAAGGGCAGATGATAAATATTTTAGGCTTTGCAGGCCTCGTGGTCTCAATGGAAATCATAGACAATATATAAATGAATGAGCATGACTGTATTTCCAGTAGAACTTCTTTATAGATACTGAAATTTGAATCTCATCTAATATACATATGTCATGAAGTATTATATTTTTATTCTGATACTCTTCCAAGCATTTAAACATATAAAACTTATTCTGAGCTCATGGATCATACAAAAGCAAGTGGTAGGATGGATTTACTAGAAAAAATTGTTAATATTTCAGTATATTTTACAGTGCTATTTAGTTAGACCTCAAGCTCTTTTTATAGTCTCCTTGTTCTGTTGTTTAATTAACATTATAATTATACTTTCGAGAGATCCAGAACATATTTTTGTATCTGTTGTGTGGTATTTGGATGATGAAGGCATGGGGTAGGAGTAACAAGGAGATGAGGCTGGCCTGTTACATAATAATAAGTAGCAGTGTATTTAGCAAATATAAATTAGGCATCTATCTTATGACACCCAAATCTGGACTAGGGAGCTTGGCAATTACTGGCTCAGATTTAGATAACAAAAATGATCAAACTGGATAATTCCAGTTAAAGACAATTTGCTAGCTTAAATTCTTTGAGTTGATAAAGGAAAAATGTTTGTTGAGCTTTGAACCAATTTATTGTTTGCAGAACCCTGAGCCTGGAGGATGTGGGAGACTGTAAATGGAAAGCAAGGGATCACAGTGAGGAGGAAAAGAGCTAATGTTGGGTGCAACTCTTACCAGTAAGTGATTCACCTGTACCATTGGATACAACCTGACAGCCTCAGTGACTCAATCAACTCAGTTCCTAACCTCACTAGAGCAGTTGGCCTTCGAGGACTCCTGTGAACCCCCAACCCTAAACTGACAAGCTGAGGACTCTCCTAAATTGGCCAGTTTTCTTACTTTAAAAAAAAAGATTTTATTATTTATTTTTAGAGAGAGGGAAAGGGAGGGAGAAAAGGAGAGAAATATTGATCCATTGCCTCTCGTATACACTCTGACCAGGGATGGAACCTGCAACGCAGGCATGTGACCTGACCAGGAATGGAATTGGTGACCTTTCGCTTTGCAGGCCACAACGAACTGAGCCATACCAGTCAGGGCTCAATCAGTTTCCTTGAGAAACTCTTTGCCTTTTGCCTTTTTGAGGGCAGTCCCAACCCTACCTTTGATGGAAGCCATGTTTACAGTGACCTTCCTTGTGTGTGCTCAGACACAAGTAAATCCTGTAGAATCTAGATCCTACTCCAGACTACCCAAACTAGAATCTGCATTTTTAAGATTTTATTTCTCAATTTACATTCAAACTATTTTAAACTTAGAATCTGCATTTTTAAACAAGATCTCAGTTGATTCATTTAGACAATATGATTTGAGAGTCACATAGACAGCACAATTTGAGAGTAACTGGAGCAAATCTTCAATAAACCATGGTTCTCAAACTTGAATGTACATCCAAAGCACTCATTGAAATGCACATCTCTGGGACCTACCCTCAGAGTTGCTGTTTCAGAAGGTCTGGGGTGTAGCCTGAGATTCTGCATTTCTATGTTCAATAGCTGAAGCTACTACTCTGAGACTACATATTGAAAACCACTAATTTGAACTATTTATGAGTTCTTTTTTTAACAGTTAAACTGAAGACTTCATTCCACAGTGGCTAGTCAAGTTGAATCAGACTCTCCCAGTCTTGCCTGATAGTAAATGCAACTTGACAATCACCTTGTCACCATCTTTAATCTTCCTTTCCCAGAGAAATTATATATATGCCTCACTTCCCTGGTGACATGATCTCCCTTCCTCATAAATAAGCAAATAAATAAATAAAAACAAAATTATTCTTCCCTTAGAAAAAAGTAAGATTATTCCTACTCTTTAAAAATATATGCTAGAGTTGGGGGAGGGGTACTGGGAGGAAAATAGACATAACCGTACTTGAACAACAATAAGTAAATAAATATATATGATAGGTAACATTTAAAAATATTTTCATTTAATCATAAACTTTTTAACACAGGAAAGAACTCTATGAACATTATGGCTTATGAGTCTGATCTTTTATGAATTTTTGAATTGGTTTTATGAATTTTTCTGATTTTTTGAATTTTATATCTATTCATAACACAACCAAATCAGCATTATTGGAAATGTTTGGATTAAAATCAGATTGGTAAAAGATTTCAACCAGTCCACATATATAAGAAAGTGGAAGGGAAAGACAATGATTAAGGGAGATTATTGCTAGTGAAATAACTACTTATACATTTGTGTCTTTGTGGGGGAGAAAACAGAAGTGGTCCTCTCCATCTCTGTGCCATTCTCTTTTGGACCGCTCTGCCTGGTTCTAGGAATTGCAACTCTACCCCCTGTTGCTAAGGATGAACGAGTGACCTCTGTGGAATTCGAGCTGCAGGAGACAAAGCTTATCTCTCGTAACAAATGCTGCCTCAGTTTCCTCTCTGCCCTCACAGCAAGGTCATAAGTTTTTGTTGGGTAAAACCCCTCACAGCAGGGGGCAACCTAAGCCAGATTCGATCACCTGGGAGGCCATCATGGAAGGACTTGGGGGAGGGGGAGCTGCAACAAAGAGGGAGCAATGGACTCGGCTCCCCCTCCCTGGCCTTGACATAGCCTGAGTCCCCATACTCTGGGAGAAGTACTTCCTGGCTCTAATCACCTTAAACCTGAATACCTGTTGTGGAGGGGTGCAGCTCCTTGCTTTCCTGGAGTGTGTCCTGGGGAAAAAATCTGGCATCACAAAGACTTCCTGATAAACCTGTCAAATCTGCTCTGCTAAGAGTGCTTCCATTCATATGTTAAGGGTCCAAGTAGGAAGCTCTAAAACTCTGTCCCTGACAGACTCTGACTCACACTAAGCCCTCAGATTTCTTTGAAATGTTATCTACTGTTTGATCCTTCCCACCTGTATTCTTGTGTATTACAACCCAATAAAAGCTTTTGGAGGAACGGACTCAACACCTTTTTCTCCTGAGAAACTGGCCACCTCTCCTCCTCAAGTAGATCACATCTTGTCTTGTTTACTTTTATCTGTGGCCATTGGGGGGGACATATGGGAAAAGTTGCCCCCACACCATTCCTGTCATCTGAGTCCCCAAAATAGCATTGCTGAAACCCAGAATGAACACAATTTTTAGATAAAAATTCTTCAGTTTTTGGTCTTCATTCCTTTCATTTTAGGTTCAGTTTAAGTCCTAGGAGCCAGGCAAAAGATAGTAGCTATTTCTTCCATTGTCTTCTACAACCAAAGTTTTATTTTAAAGGGGGGAATTGGTAATATGTGGCATTATCAAGACTATATAATTATCTACAATAGCCAGTATGGTATCAGGGTAAGAGAGTGTGGATGCTCCAGTGTGAGAGGCCTTACTGATATTTTGGATGGGATGCATCCCCAGGTGTGGGCTTGTTACCGAACAAGAGGTCCGAGGGAGGGGGGTAGCATTTGGCCCACCCAGGGATGCCAGAAACTGCTGCAGAACAGGAGCCCCTCCCAAGGACGGTATACTAATATATACTGGGCTCTTCTGTCCGTGGCCAATTGGAAAGACATGTCTCAATGCCAGAGATTTGTGAAAAGGAAACAAAGTGTTTATTTAATGCTATTTAGGCTTAATGCCTCCACTAAAATATCAAAGTCCTTTAGGTTGTACACCTACACCCACACAGCTCCCTTTTCCCACTGTCCCAACTCTGGGTACCATAAATCAGGAAAAGAGCACACGTCTGTGTTGCAGGCCGCTGGTATCGTCAGCTGTGTCAGGCAGGATCTCTAGTTAATCCAAAGTACTGTGGTACCCTCTCATGGTCCACTGGCAAGAGTTCTTTGTACCCAGTTCCAGTCAAAGTTTCTCCTGCTTTCCAGGCCACTCGGCCAAAGGGGCACCCCAAAGCCGCGTGGGCCTCTTCTACCAAAGCTGCAGGGGTCCGCACTGCACCAAAAGCACGAGGCTTTCTTCTTCACCTGGCTGCAGGGATCTCCATTCTGGCAAAGCTGCATGGTTTTCCCTTTTACCTGGGAAAGAGGGGTCCTCACTCTGCCAAAACCACGTGGCTCCCTCTTTCACCTCACCAAGAGGGGGGTCCTCACTCCGCTGAAACCGCGTGGCCCTTCCCTACATAACTGCAGGGGTCCTCACTCTGCCCCAAACCACGTGGCCCTCTTCTCACCTGGGCAGTTATCCTCTCCTGTCCTGGAGCCAATCTTTTCTAAGCTCTCACACAGGCTCTCTCTCTTCAGGGGCGCAGTCCCTAATTACATCCTGGGTAGAAGCCACTCCCTTCTCCCTGGCTCATAACTTGGCCACAGCTATTTAACACATCTATGAAACCAGTTAAAGGTTATAGATATGTTAAATAATCATTCCAGAGGTTAGCTGCAAAACTGTTGCTATGCAAAACAACTCTCAATGGCCCTGCTCCATTCATCCCTTCCCCCTGGGGGGCAGGGGGGGGTGAGGACATCTGATATGTCCCTCCAATATTCCTATACACTTTGAGTTCTGGACACCATTCCAAATCTTTGTTTTTGCCCCCCCCCCCTTGGCTGCACCCTGTATCAGGCTCATTTCTAAGTGTGCGTGTGCGTATGTGTGCGCACGTGTAGCTGATGGAGTGTATCTCCAATGTGTCTGAGTTCAACATGCAGTCAAAGCTGGCCATGAGCTCCCGGGAGGTGTTAAAGCAATATGTGTCTGAGTCTCAGGTGTGCGGGGGGGCCCCAGGAGCAGGGAAGACAAGAGGCGAGGCCAGAGCGGGCTGGCACCGCATCCCGCCTCTAGGGGGCGCCCCCATGGGCGGCCTCCCAGGGGTGCAGTATCATCCTCGGCCAGCGGTTTCCGCTCAGCTTCTCCGGCCGCTCTCCCTACGGCCCAGAGTCCTGTGGCAGGTGAGTCGTTGGGCTCCAGCTGAGGACTGGGAGCTGCTGGCAGGGCCTCCGCCTCCTCACACTGACCCGGGGACCCCACGGGCTCCTGCCGTCTGTGCTGACGCGGCGGCTTGCTCCGGGGCTGAGTCTGGACTACGGGGTCCAGGGAGGTGGGGGAGAGGAAGAGAGGAGGGGCAGAGCCGGGCCGGAAAGCGACGCCCAGGCCTTTCGAAACCGGCTGGAAGGGAGGGAACTGGGCCGAAAGGGACGCCCAGGCCTTTCGAAACCCGCTGGAAGGGAGGGGACACAGGGCCGTTAAACTCGTCCCCAGATTGGTTCCACTCTGCACAAAGCGAGCGCCACTGCCAGAATGGGAGAGTGCGCAGTTAGGATCTGCCTTCGGGTTAGGTTGACTGCTTCTTCCTAATAAGGGGAAAAGTAAAGACTTAAGAAGGTAGTTTTAAGAAAGGATATTAGTTGAATGAGGTTTAACACTTGTCGGAATTGTTTTTAATTTTAGAGATACCGGTTTGTGAGGAAACCAAAAGCTGCAAAAGAAATGTAGAAATTTCTGGCGCTTGCCAGTTTTTGAGCTTAGTTTTCTTTGAAACCGTTTGTGACACACCTGAAGTTTTGGAGCAGTTGCTTTTACTGCCTTGATTACGCTAAATATGGTTATTGCTGTTACACTCTGGAAGCCCTAAATAGGTACACGGTTTTCTGAATACAACTTTTTGATTCCAAGCTTACTTTGTGAATGTTGAACTGATATGAAAATTATTTGTAGCCATATTTTAAAGCAGGTTATTAATTTTGCTAAACGTCCTAGGGATTAAAAACGAAGGAGTATCACTAAATCAATAGGCCTGATCTATGTAAAGTGTAGGTCTTAATCACTCACCGTACTTACGTAATTTGCCCTATAATTGAAGATTTTCTCTCCAGTCTCTTGCAGTTTATTGAAATGCTAATATGAAAAGCTCCTGCAGTTTGCCCTTATTTTCCCCAAATTACTTGTTTTCTTGAATTGACTCCCAGGAAAAACTGGAAACTCCTAAGCAGCGTATCTGGTGGAGAGCATTGTATTTCAAAAGCATAGTTTGCAAAGTTAAATTTTTTAATTGGTGGACTTTTGTTAAATATTTTGAATCAGTCGACCTTACTAATGAGGTTCCTAACTACTAACACTAGTCCTAGAAAGGGTTAGGTCTTAGCTTATGGGCAGCAGGAAGTAGAAGAGAATACAGATAGAAACTGATACTGTTTAAGCTTTAAAATTATATGCTCATTTTTCTCAATTTTACCTACTAAGATCTCTTGAAAATTCCAACCTATGTCAGCTGTTCCTAGTGGAGTTGTTGAAACGGTTTGTATCTACAGTTAGCCTGGCTAGTTGGGTACTACAGGGCTGAGGATGTATCTAGGGCACCCTGCAGGCTGGCATGATGCAGGCAGCGGGGTTTGCAGAAGGACCGGTCTCAAGGAAAGGTGGCAATAAGAGGATAAAAATCAAGTGATCTTAGCAGTCTTCTCTAGAGCATTTTCAGCCAGAGGTAAACCTTTGTTTTTAGACATTTTATTAAGAGAACATTGGTTAGTTCTGGCCAGTGTGACTCAATTGGTTGGAGCATTGTCCTGCAAACCAAAAGTGTGCGGGTTCCATTTCTTGTTGGGGCACATCCCTAGGTTGTGGGCCCAGTCTCTGGTTGGGGGCATATACAATAGGCAACCCAATCAATGCTTCTCTCTCACATGGATGTTTCTCTTCACCTCTCTCTTTTCTTTCCCCTCTACAAGCATGTTCTCTGGTGAGGATTTAAGAAAAGATAGAGTTTGTTAAACATGACAAACATATTGCTTAACAAGAACTTATTCTTGAATTGAAATTCTCTCTTCTCAGTGAAATTTTTCAGGGCAAGGAAGCCTTGTTTAGTTTGGACCTGTTTAGGCTGTATAAGCAGGGCTTATTCTGGGTAAGCTGTTGTTATACTCCTCTAGTGGGTTTACAGAAAAGAGCACAAAGACGCATTCTCATGGGAGGACTTAGGGGAGGTCACATTTGCACTGAACCTTGAGCAGAGAGTAGATTTTTTATAGGCAGAAGAGTGTAATTAGGCATTCCTAGTAGTAAATACCATGGGCAAAGATAAGAAGTTAGCATGTAACTATGTTCATAAATGTGGGAGCAAATGAGATGCTGAGGCTAGACGCAGCGTAAGGAGCAGTGGGATGGGGTGTGGGAAGTGTACCTGGAAAGAAAGCCTATGTAGCAATACACTTTTTAATCAAGGTCCTGCTTTATTTTTCTTTTTTATTACAGCAAACATAAAATGAACTTTAATGAACTATAACGAACATCAAATAGATTTAACAATTTGTTTTAACAAACTGTTTAAAATTTTTAGACAAATCTGCTTCATCTTTTTATTTTGAGGCTTTTTTGCACTTGTAGCAGTTTAAATTCCAAATGCCCCCCAAAGGAGGGCATTTTCTTGTTTACCACAGTACCATTGTCAGCTCCTAATCAAATTGACAATAATTTCTTGGAGTTTTTTAGAATCTAGTCCACTGTCAAATTTCACTGATTGACTCAGAAATGAACTTATTCTTATTGCTGGTCTGTGTGAATCAGAATCTTGACTATCTGCTGTCTTTTTAAATCTAGAATTGGGGTTTGACAGACTCTTTCTTAAAAGGGCCAGATGCTAACTCTGTTAGGTTTTGCAGGCCATGCAGTCTCTGCTGCATTTATCTAACTGCCCTGAAAAGTTAGCCATGGATAATATGTAAAAATTTGCATGAATGTGTTCCCATAAAATTGTGTGTTTCACAGTTATTTGTTTAAAACGCCACTGGTGGACTGAGCCATAGTTTGCTGACAGTTGTCTAAAGCAGTGCCCATGCATTTCTTTAATGCCGGTGATGATTAGTGTCACTTGGTTGTCTATAAATGCCTCATATTCTGGATTCGCCTTTTTGTATAGTGTGGTTTAGCTTGCTCCTCTATCCCCTGTAGTTTCTGTTGTCTGAAAGACAGCTAAAGGCTTAAATTCAGGTTGAACATTTTTGTCAGATGTGGTTTGAATTTTTTTTAAAAATATAAATTTAAGACCTTAGAAGACTAGGAAACCTTCACCTAGGAAGCTCATTTTTCTCTAAAATACTCTTTGCCTGGTGACAGAGAATACAGTTTTTCCTTTCTTATCTTATTTTTCTTACTTGAAGAGAGGGTATAGCTGCTGTTTCTCAAGGAGGCTGAGAACTTTGAACCCCTGTTAGGTCACTGGGGATTTTCCATTTCTCAAGGCATCTTGTGGTGCCTTGGGCCAGCGCACTACATTTTCTCATCGAATGGAACTACCTTCCTTGGGCCCACATCCAGGGCCTAAGATGTCTTCCACCAGGGGCTGGGTGGTTCATTTTTGTTTTTAAGCCTCTTGTCACATAAACACTCAACTTTATTTACTCACCCTTTTCTTAATCTTACATCCAGCAGGACTGAAAACTGGATACCTGCCTGGTGCATATCATCCTACAAGGTGGCAGTACGTGTCCTGGTGTCCTGTTTGGAAGGATTCTGAAGGCTTTTCAGACTCTCAGACTTACTGTGGTACTGGATTCCAGGGCCACACGGCTTTTGAAGAAACAAGCTTACAGGTGAGAATTGTTTTCTGCTCTGTTCTACAGTTTCCTTGCTCCTAAATTCTGTAGCACTGGAGAAACTATGTTGGCAAACACAGTCAGATGGTAGTTCTTGTCTTTTTGTCACCTAAGAACAGCAGGGGAAACTGTTCATCTCTGTATCCACTTTTCTAGAAAACATGGCATTGGGTTGTGGTCCTTTTCTTACTGATTTGCAAGAATTCTTTATACACTGAGGATGCTTATCTTTTGTCATATAGTATGTTACAACTATATTTTCCCCATTTTTTACTTTGTTTATAGTACATAGGCTCTGAAGAAAAATTTACTTTTATGTAGGGAAAACCATCAGTCTCCTTTTTATAGTTTCCTTGCTTTGTGTTTTGCTTAGAAAGATAATAACCATTTCAAGGTTATTCTTTTCAAAATTTATGTTCACACAGATAAATGAACATGTGATGAGAGCTAAGAACATGTGATTCCGAAAAAGAATAATATTGAAGGGGTCTGTTTCTACCAGATAATATAAATTAAATTGATTAAATGTTAGTATTAAAATAGGCCCTACTTTAATGTGGTTGAAATTGGGGAGTGGGTGTTTAGGGATTATTATATCATTACTCTATTTTTGTATGTATTTGACTTCTCATAGTAAAGTTTTCTTTAAAAAAGAATAGTGGAGGGAAAACCTATCTTTACCCTATTGGTTCTTATTCAGCAACTATTAATAGTCTCTGTGCTAAACAGTGGGGGTATTGTGTCAATAAATGCACAAGATCTTGGAACTTCCATTTCTCACTTAGGGGACAGACATAGTCATGGTTAAAGGGACCAACTTTTTGGTCAGTCTGCCTAGCTTCAGATCCTGCCTCTTCCATTTACTAGCAGGGTGATTTTGAACTTTTTGATTTAAAAAATGAGTATAACATGTCTATCTGACAGGGTTGTTGGGAGAATTGAACGAGAAAATCCATGAAAACTTCTTTACATGGTGCTTGGTATTTAATAAATTATAAGTGTAAACTTTAAAGAAGAGAATAATTGCAAACAGCAAGGACTAAGGTGGAGAGGTGATGGTGCTAAGCAGAATATGTGGAGTAGGGTTTATGACCTCATGTGGTTTGGTTAAGTGGCGTTTGGAGATGTGAGATTTGGAAGATCACATCTTTTAATTGAATGGAAATGGCTTTCACTGGGGGCAGCAGAGAAGGGGCACAGACAGAGGCCTAACAAGTGGGAGAAGTGCATCTTATTTTGCATTAGGTTCCTAGTGCTGCCACATCTCGCCAGCTGAAATGAAGGCATCATCCGTGCTGTGCCCCCACCTGGAGGCCCTGGAGGAGATTCTCTTTTCTCAAGTTTTCCACCCCGTATTCCTTGGCTTATTGGCTCCTTCCCTCTGCCTTGAAAGATAGTCATATTGCATCCCTTTGACCCCTCCAACCCAGTCACAGCTCTCTCTCTGCCCTGAGCCAAGAAAGCTTCTTCAGTCTAAGGGACTCCTGTGGTTAGATTGGGCCTATTTGGACAATCCAGGATCATTTCTGCATCTCAAAGCCGTTTTAAGCACATCTGAAAAGTCCCTCATGCCATGTAAGGTAACATGTTCATAAGTTCTGCGGATTAAGACATGGGCATCTTTGGGAGGGAAAGGGTTTTTATTCATTCACCTCTCCTTGTAATGCAGTAGCTGCTGCTGAATCAGGGCAGCTCTCCAGACGTTAGGGGCTGTCAGATGCATTAGGACCAGATACTAATACAGGCTCAGAATCCGTTTCCACTACATTTCCACTCTTCGGAACCCTCCTTCCTCAATATTAATCAGAGACACTTCTGAGTGACAGGAGTCATTGGCTCCACGTATGAAATACCACCAGTTCTTCAGAGCTCGACGGAGGGGCTATCAAAGACCTTCTTTGATTCATTCCTATGCCTCCATCCTCCCCAAAAGGTCACACCTGCTGCTGCAGCCTGCTGGGGCTTTTGCTTCTGCAGCTACTTTCCATTTTAGTTTTTTTCTGTTGTTTTTACATGTGTTAATTGTTTTTGCACTCTAGCCTTAAACAGTGGTGGGCTATTTTAAACAAAAGTCATACTAAGATTTTTAGTACTTTCTCACCTAATAATGCTAATTAGGTGAGAGCCAGGGCTTCCTCATTTGGATTCCTCAGTAGTGCCTTCCATCTATAACAGGCAGCCAGCCAGAGCACATTTCCAGTTATTTGGGAGTGTTTTTGTAGAACTCTGACATTTTGAGTTATGCCAGAGTAAGTTAGAGAGATACTCCTCAAATTATGTAGCATTCTTGTCCATTTGTTCAGATTACTACATCTGCTTTTAGACTTTTTGAGGATTTATCTGTTCCTGTTATTATCATCTGCACTTAAAGGAGTACGCAGCAGATAAATTAATGAAGATTATTAATATTTCTACATCTCATGATGGTTTTACTAATTTCTGAGCACTAAATGAGATTTAATTGAAAAGCATTCTTTAAGACATTATTTTTTAGTAGAATCACAACTGCCAGTTTTGAATTACTCTTTCACCCTTGGTTTGGTTTCCTGTAAAGTTGGATGCAGATTATAAAAACTTAATGAAAATCATGAGGCGGAATAAGTGTATGTTGTAAATGAATAAAAAACAGGGTCGGATGGCATTCTTGGGAGTATTCATGAAGACAAAGTCACTGTTTTTCTTTTTCTCTCTCAGCATTATATTATAACATTTGCAGCCATGCTTAAAAGTAGAAGACAGTGAACCCTCACCCAGCAGCATGGCATCAGAAATCCACGTGTCATTCTGCCTTTGCCGTACTTCTTCACCCTTCTCCTCCTCCCTCCCTCTGGCCTTCCTTTTTTTTGAATTTTGTTTGTTTGCTTACTTCTGAAAAGTTTTTAAGCAAATGCCAGAAACCATATCATTCCACCCCTAAATATTTTTGTATGACTTTTCTTTAGAAGTTGTTTTTACATAACCACAGTCCTTCCTAACAAGGAACAAAATAGCCTTAGTATCATCTAGTACTGTTTTCAAATTTACACAGTGGTCTAAAAAAGTCTCTGTTTTTCAAATTAGGATCAAAACAAAGCCCAGTCGTTGTATTTGGTTTATACACTTCCTGAGTGCCTTTTAAATAATAATTGATATTTTTACCTCTTTAAAAGATTTTATTTATTTATTTTTAGAGAGAGGGGAAGGGAGGAATAATGAGAGGGAAAGAAAAATCAGTGTGCAAGGGAAACATTGATCTGTTGCCTCTTTTACACTCCTAATTGGGGACCTAGCCCACAACCCAGGCACTTGCCCTGACCAGGAATCAAACTAGCGACCCACCCACTGAGCCACACCAGTCAAGGGCTACCTTTTGTTTTTAACTGAATGCTTTAGAGTATTTGCATGCTCTCATTCTTTCATCATTAGTATTTGAATTTATATATAGTAAAATTTTGTCATATAATTCTATGAATTTTAAAATTGATTCATTCATATAACCCTTATCACAGTCCTGATACAGAGCAGTTCTATCACCAGAAGCAGCCCAGAGAACAAAACATAAGAAGTTCTCCCTCATGTTTGTCCCCTTATAGTCAAACCCTCACTCTGTGAGCAGCCTAATCTTGACTGCCCTTGACCTGGTTTCCATTTTTATAAGTTTTGCCGTTTCCAGATGTCACATAAATGAAATTATATAGTATGGAACCTTTTAGGCTGACTTGTTTCACTCAGACAACATCTTTGAGATTCATCCGTGTATGTGTGTGTATCCTTTCTTATTCCCAAATGGTATTTTATCTTATGGGTGTACTACAGTTTGTGTATCCAGTGTTGAAAGACATTTGCATTCTTTATAGCTTTTGGTGATTTTGAACAGAGCTGCTGTACACATTTATATCCCCTCATTTGTATCCCCGCCAGCAATGTAGGACAGTTCCAGTTGTTCCATATCCTTGTCAGCACTTGATATTGTCATTTTTTAATTTGACCCATCCTAATAGGTATGTGTTTTTATTTTTAATTACCTGATTTCAGTATTATAAAATTATTTCTAATCTTGAAATTACTGAATTAAACTTAATTTATATACCAGTTATGAAAATAAATATTTCTGGTTTTCCGGTGATAATCTACATTTAATATAGTAAGTAGTAAATATTCTATATTGAAAAAATTAAAAGCAGAATGTATTGAGAGGAGTCTTAAATCTCATCAGTGGACACATCATATATGGCAAAGGATTACAGAATAGCATCTAAATATATAATGCATTTTATAGTATTCATTCATTATTGCACCTTGTTCATGTCTCGCTCCTGTTTTACCATTAGTAACCAACAGTGCCATAATTGCTTTTGCTATCAGTTTTATGCTAGATTAGATTAATTGGTGAATCTTTAGTTACCTGAAAGTAAATGGATGTATGCAGAGAATAAGTTAAAATTGACTGCTTCCCTGTGTCTGAGACAGTAGTAAAACCTTGCATTTGAGAAATTTAGGGACCATGGTCACTGGTCACTGTTGCTTGAACATGTGAAGTTGACTATTGGATTAATTACTAAGCTGTTGCCGCTAATGTTGTCCCTCACACCTCGAATGGATGGAACTCTGAAAGTCTCAGGGTGCAAAAAGTCAAGTGTCACCCATTAACTGCTATTGTTTGAGCTTCTGGTTGGTAGCTCAGTTGGGAGAATGGTGTCTATATAGGTTTTACTCTGTGACTAGAAGACTCTATGTTTTTGCTTGTGAAAGTTACTGGATGGTTAGACCTTTTGAAGGACCGTTCTGTGTAACATATGGGCATTATATGGAAAAACTGAACTTGACAAATAAAGGAAGATTGAGGACAAATTGCCAGATTTGAGGTTGTTGTGGTCTAATGCCTCACAGGTCAAGTACTAGGATAATTTGGTTCCAGATGTAAAGCAATGGGATGGGTTTCTGTGGTTAACTCATTTTTGGTTTAAAACTAACATGTTAATTTATCTGTATATCAATAATGATTGAAATAAAAAATA